GTAATTTGGGTCACAAACCCAACAAAAAGCATCTTCCTTGGTTATCCAAATGTACTCTTCATCATTAGAAGACGATTTTCGCCTTCAATCCAAAGTATTCTCGATTCATCAAGATTCATAAAACGACTATGAATAACAACGTCCAAAGAACAAAGTAGGGTGCATGCATAGTTTCTATCAGGCATTTCATTGAACATTTTCTTCGCAATTTCAAACTTGCTCGATTGTCTATACAATTTGACAAATTTTATAGAAACGCTCTTCTTGAAAACATCAATCTAAATTGCTTCTCATTTTTGAGAATTTCTTTTATCCATTTGAAGTGTTTGGCGAAAGCCAAGCGGTGGATTGTAGATTCATAAATGCCATTCTTGTTGCGGGAATGGTTGGAAATTTTGTGGAGATGAGATCTTTCTATGAGGCAGAAGCTTTAAAAATGAAGAAGATGTCTCCCCAAATTTTGTAATTGAAATCAGTTAGTAAGAACGAAGAAGATATTCTCTCTCCAAATTTTGTAATTGAAATAGTAATGATATTAATCCTTAAATTATGGGATTAGTTACTAAGTTAATGACCTGATTTTTGATAATGGAATCTTAAATACACGTTTTCCTTTAATTTTCCCAATTGTAAAGTCTCATTTATTACTAATGTATTTCGCCATCAGAATCAGTCAAGTCCAAAATTGGGATTATTCAAAATGAGATGAGTCCTAGTTAATAAAAATCGGCGGCCAAAGTTTGATGACGCTCAAATTTGAAAAGCATCTTTCTTGGTTATCCAAATGTACTCTTGGTCATTAGAAGACTGCTTTCGCCTTCAATCCAAAGTATTCTCGATTCATCAAGATTCATAAAACGACTATGAATAATAACGTCCAAATAGCAAAGTATGGTGCATACATAATATCAAGGGATGATACAACATAACACGAATATGTCACATGTGAACTTCATTTTACATGAGAGGGCCCTATCTATAATTAGTATTTTGTACACCGAAAGCTCAAATTGAACATATTGTGCTACACAAGCACTAAGGCCACAAATGTACCACTACAGTAATCCATAAACTATGAAAGCTCGATGTAGGCTACACAAGTCATGCACGGTTTGCAATCCTTATGGGCTACTCTTGCCCTCGACTTTCGGTAATTAACAAAGTCCTCGTACAACCCTTATGGGCTACGCTTGCTCTGTATGGCATGCAAACTTTATTAGAGATCTTACTTTTTAGCGTGTCATACAATAATCTTGTTCACTTGCACTTTTTGAAATCAAGGTGACATAGTATAACACAATAGATGAACTTCATATGACCTTATATTTCATATCTTTGCATGCACATAAGTAAATATTGCTCTTGATTTGTTATAATTTTATTTTAAATAACCTTCTAATAATTCAATTGAATACATAGAGCACATATACTCATGCACATATAAAAGCTTAATATCTCACGCAAGTAGAAGTAAATTCCTCACTATATTCAAAAAAGATGGGCAGAATGGTGGACTTCTTTTTATGATTGAGATTCAAATGCATGGAAAGAAAAATAAAAAATTGCATATTCAACAGCATAGCCAAAATAGTCATGCTTAAGGGTTGACCAAATTGGCACCTATTACCATGATTTTAAATTGTGGAATAATTTGACCGTAGCCTACCTTTTTTTAAAAAGAATTTAAAAAAAAAAAAAACTTGAGATAATGACATTCTAATAGAAAAAGGAAAGTAAAAAACCAATTGATGGCAAGCAAACACAGCCATCGATCTCGAAATAAGTTTTGTACTCAAAATTGACTAAAATAGGGCATAATATCAATTGTTTTAGTAACATTCCACAAACCAGAACAATACCAAAATGCGATTAGTCATTTTTCTAAATTTCAAAAGGGTTAAAACAATAAATAAATATAATAAATCATTTGGGACCCAATGTTTCACATAAAATATAGATTTTATTATGCATTGAAATTGTAACAACTAACAAGTCCGCATTGTGAAATCAAACACGACTGATATCAAATCATTTGAACATTACTAATTTATTTTTCGAAAGCCAAAATAGTTAAAAGCAACACCCAAATTGATTACGGGACTCAATTTATACCTCTAGTCAAGGTTCGATCCCCTAAAAAAAAAAAAAAAAAAAAAAAAAGGTATTACCCTTTCCTAAATAGTAGAAATAATTTTACCTCCAAAAACAATTATATTTGACACAAAAATAAAAACCTTCCCTTCCGTAAGTAACTAACTGGGGCGAAAAGTAGAGTTTGGCGGGTCTCCCTAGTCTGGTTTGGTAGGCGTTTGATGCTACCCCATTGCCGTTCTCAAAAGAAAAGAAAGGTTGAACCCCAATTTTAATGGTCACCATCTCTCTACTCCTAGAGATTTGCGAGGAAGATAAATCGCGAGATGTGTCTTAATAGGTCAAGGAATAAGAATTATTTGTCCACCGTACCTATCAGAAGTCCAATTTTATATCTAATGAATCGAATCCCCACATTGTAACTGCCAATAAGACGTTAAATAATCTTTTGTCCTTTGTACCACTTGACCATGCCCGACAACCCCATTGCCGTTCTCGATATTATATATAAAGCGCTCTCTCCTCTGCGGAAGTCACGAGTCTCTCAAAAAATTTCAACTCTTATGAACTCAGACTCAAAGTTTTGATAATTTGTTTTCATTTTCCTGTGGTTAATTTGCTTTGCTGATTTTCTTCCCGGCGCCGAAAGGATCACAACTAGTGTTAACGCATTTGAAAATCCGCCAACGACTCAGTTGAGAACTCATGGAATCCACCTCAGATAAGTTATGGCCTTTGGATATGATGGCCTCGATTCTAAAGGGCGTGAAATTCCAGCAGTCGAGCGGGTCAGCGGAGGTAGCAGGGCAGCTGGCGTGGATGGCAATGTTGATGGAGAATAGAGACCTGATGATGGTATTAACGACTTCTGTGGTTGTGCTGATCGGATGCGTTGTGGTGTTGTTCTGGCGGCGGGCTGCAGGATCTGCCACGAAGAAGGCGGTGGAGCCGCCTAAAGTCGTAGTGCCCAAGGTGGTGGTGAAGCCAGAGGAAGTTGACGATGGAAAGAAGAAGGTCACTATCTTCTTCGGAACTCAGAGTGGTACAGCAGAAGGCTTTGCCAAGGTAAAAGCTTTATTATGATAGTTTACTTTTTTTGTTTTCTCATTTTCGCTTCTTTTTTTTTAACAGGAACTTGCTGAGGAAGGTAAAGCTAGATATGACAAGGCTATGTTTAAAGTAATTGATTTGGTGAGTTTTTCATCCATTTTGATGTTTCGTTTTCGGTTCTTATGTTGTTTTTGTTTTACACGTAAAGGTTTCGTCCTGATGTTGTGATCACTTATTGAATCTTTTTATCTGTTGATAGGAAAGTTACGTTAATTTAATTAATGATATGCTTAATATTAGCTATTACAAAATAACGTAGTTCAATTTTATGTGTTTCACGTCTCTCTTTGTTGAATTTTTCATAAATTTGATTACTAAAATCACATAAAGAGAAAGATAGCGAACTCAAAATAATTAAGAGAGATGTTGTAAAGCTTTCATTCGATTTTCTCATGTAGAAATGACACTACAGTAGAATAACAGATTTGGATAAAATTGAGGTCAATTTGATTAAGTTGATTTTGAACTGAAAATTAGAAATAGAAAAATCATATTTTGTGGTTTGAACTAAATTAACTAGTTAACAAATTTATTTAGAAAAAATAAAATAATTTTACTCATTTAAAATAAGTTAATTAAAAAAATTACGGAGATTCGATTCTTATTCGATTTTTCGGGTCTTGGTCTAGAACCGAGAATGAAACCATACCCGTCGATTTTTGATTCAAATACCCATTCGGGTATTTAACTTGAGAAGAACCGTCGGGTTCGGTTCGAGAGTTTTGTCCAGCCCTAATTGTTACGTGCATGTGTCATCTTATTCTCATTTTTATCTTCTCACCTTCTCTTTTTTTCTGATTCCAGGTGGGAGACGACTTGTCCCAGTGGGTCTTGGAGATGATGATCAATGCATGGAAGATGACTTTGCTGCATGGTACTAAGATTGTATTATTATTTGAAATGAAGCACCTTTATCTTTTAAAGACAAGGAGATTATAGCTTCAATGATTCTGATCAATTTTTGGTGAATATAGGCGTGAGTTAGTGTGGCCTGAGTTGGATAATTTGCTCCGTGATAAGGATGATGCAACTGTTAATACTCCATACACTGCTGCTGTCCCAGAATATCGTGTTGTTTTTCATGATCGCCCAGACTTGTCAGTTCTGAAGAATGGATCAATTCATGCCAATGGTCATACCATTTATGATGTTCAACATACTTGCAGGTATTGAAGGAGATATAAATTTTTTCTTGGCGGTCCTTTTTTTCTCGATTATTTAATTTTCGAAGATATGTTTCTCACCCAGATGTTCCCTAAAATTATGTATTTTTCTTGAAGAGCTAATGTGGCTGCCAAGAAGGAGCTTCACACTACAGCATCTGATCGTTCTTGTACTCATTTGGAATTTGATATTTTTGGCACTGGACTTGCGTAAGTTTCTGCTCTACATCATCTGCCACATAATACTTTATTTCGTAATAGTTAGACTAAATAAAAGGCGTTTAATTTTATCTAGATCTTGTTTATTTATTCTTTACTTTTCTCCTTAGGTATGAAACTGGGGACCATGTTGGTGTGTACTGCGAGAATTTGATCGAAACCGTAATGGAGGCAGAAAGGTTACTAAATTTGTCCCCTGATACTTACTTCTCCATCCATACTAATAGAGAGGATGGCACACCACTCAGCGGAAGCTCCTTACTACCTCCCTTCCCACCTTGCACGTTAAGAACTGCACTTGCTCGATATGCAGATCTCTTGAGTTCTCCCAAAAAGGTTGGTTATGCTCCAATTTATTAAATTATTTCCTGGATTTAACTTGGGAAGAACAACTGAGTATTAATGGTTGATTACACGTGTTTTCCAGTCTGCCTTAATTGCTTTAGCGGCACATGCTTCTGATCCAAGTGAAGAAGATCGACTAAGATATCTTGCTTCCCCTTCTGGAAAGGTGTGCTATGTTCAGTCCATATCTTGATATTGAATTTGGTTGAAAAATCACACTAAGAGCATCAGTTCTTCTTCAGGATGAATATGCTCAGTGGGTAGTTGCAAGTCAGAGAAGCCTGCTCGAGGTCATGGCCGAATTTCCATCTGCCAAACCTTCACTTGGTGTCTTCTTCGCAGCCATTGCCCCACGTCTGCAGCCTAGATATTATTCTATCTCATCCTCCCCAAAGTAAGTATCTATTTCCCCTGCCCCGCTGTTCTCTATGCTCGTAGCATTACCCCACATGTTACACATTAGTGCAACCAAAAGGAAATTTGTGTCTTGGGCTTTCAGAATAATAGAATATGTTTGGAACAATCATTATTATTATTGTTCACCAGCTTCTATCAGCTGAGTATGATATGAAGTCTTTTGTGGACATGAAAATGATCACATTTTGTTTTTTTTATTTCATGAGACGTAATAACATGAGAAAAATGTGTACTTGTTCTATTTTATATTGTTTCTTTTCATTCTTCATTCTTTTTCCAAAATTCTACTAATCGTCTGCGATATATGTTTTGCAGGATAGCACCATCTAGGATTCATGTGACTTGTGCACTGGTCTACGAGAAAACACCTGTTGGAAGAATTCATAAGGGTGTCTGCTCAACGTGGATGAAGGTATTGGTTTCGTACTCAATTTATATATCAGCTGAGTGATAAAATATGGGGAAGTGCTAGTGAATAGAAATAGTCAATTATCAAAGGAATAGTGTACAGTTTCCTGAATATTATAATTTTTTCTAGATTTATCAGGACTTGTATATTTGTTGGACATGCTTCTTTGAGTTTAATTAGCTTATTTCATGTAAATTGTACAATCTCTCATGAGCGTGGGTGTTCAACGTTTATCCCTTTCCAGAATGCTGTGTCTTTTGAGGAAAGCATTGACTGCAGTTGGGCGCCTATTTTTGTTAGGCAATCTAACTTCAAACTCCCGGCTGATCCTAAAGTGCCAATCATAATGATCGGCCCTGGTACGGGCTTGGCTCCATTTAGGGGTTTCCTTCAGGTTTGTGAGAAAGCACTTCATGTGACATACTTTGTGGTCCTAGCTTCTCCTAATGCTGAATAGTTAACGATATAACAAATATCTGTTAATTTCAGGAAAGATTAGCTCTCCTCGAATCAGGAGTAGAACTTGGTCCTGCTATATTATTTTTTGGCTGCAGAAACCGTAAAATGGTTAGTAAATCACTAATCATTTGTAGCATTGGAGTTTTCAAGAAGCAAATTAGTTACAAGATTTCTAAATTAATTTCATGCAATTTTCAGGACTTCATTTATGAGGAAGAATTGAATAAGTATGTTGAAGCTGGTGTAATTTCCGAGCTAGTGATAGCTTTCTCACGTGAAGGACCAACTAAGGAATATGTGCAGCATAAGATGACGGAAAAGGTATGCAACCTTCTCCACTCTAACTAGTTTTTTGGCTTCAGATTTTAATAGAAGTTTAGTGATTTGTAATTGCATATTGTATTCAAATCTTTTAGTAATATTTTTTTGGTGTACAACAGGCTTCAGATATCTGGAACATGATTTCCGAGGGAGGATACTTATATGTCTGCGGTGATGCCAAAGGCATGGCCCGGGATGTTCACCGAACTCTTCACACCATTATGCAAGAGAAGGTATCTTTACCTTTTTGGTGCCAATATGGCTTGTCTTTTGATTTCCACACCTTTCCTGCTGGTTTTGTCCGTGGTAGACTGTATAATAAACGATATTCTAGCTTCTTTTTCTTCTTGAATACTCTATAGTCCACTTGCCCACAAGCCATTGTTGCTATGTTTCGCCTCTCTAGTAAATATTGTCTATGTGATCGTGAACAATTAGTTTTCATATACTCAACTTAGGCTCCATTTGAGAAATGATACGGTCAACTTCTTTAGCTGATTACGCCTGCAGCTAATTAATCACACTGGTATTTGTTTCAGGGATCTCTGGACACCTCTAAAGCTGAGAGCATGGTAAAGAATCTGCAAACAAGTGGACGGTATCTGCGTGATGTATGGTGATAATTCCTCCAGTCGACGTAATTCATTTAAAATTAAAGAAATTTTTTTGGAGGCAATGTGCAAAGACTTTCCACCTGCAGATGGGAAGTTTCGGATGTTGTTATAACAGTTCTCGCGATTCTTTAAACTGGCTTTATTCATGTAATTTTTTTTCGTGTAATTTATACATAAAAATGCGTATGATATAGAAATATTCAGTGTCATAATGTTAAGTGTAGCTACTGAACTCTGTAATCTTATGAACTGGCAAGATTCAACATGATTTTAATGCCTTTTCTGTCCATTCGTGTGTGCCACTTACCGTCCCAAACCTCTAATTTACTCACAACACAAGTAGAACCGGCCCTAAGATTTTAGGTGTCCTGTGCAAGATTTTAAGATGGTGCCCTCTTCAATTAACTAAAATATATATTAAAAAATAATAATAATAAAAAAATTTATGTATATATATATTTTAACGATATTATTTCATTGCAAAAATATGATGTTTAAATATATATTTTTTTAATTTTTACATACATGAACAAAAAAAACATAAATAAAGTTCAAAAGCATCTCTCGAACTTATTGCTCAATAGATATCAAAACTAATCTATTCAATTGTTCTTGTAACATAAGTAATACATGTATTCGGAAGACAATCCAATCTTTTCAAATAAGTCAATATATCAAAAGCCGTTTTTATTTCTTTTGGTAAAAGATTTCGCAAAACTTTTAACTCTTAAAATAAATCTTCGCCATCAAAATTGCAAAAATTTACATGTCTTAAAACAATATCAAGATGATCACAACATGCTTTCAAATTAGCATCATCCAATGAGTTTAACTTGTTAGAAGAAAATAGAAATCCAAATTTTTTCCATATGAATTGAATTCATCAAACTTTCGTTCAAGTGATCCAATTGCTTGATATACTATATAAAAGAAATAATTAGTTCTAAAAGAATCTTCATGTGATGATCTACAATAGCATTTTCATCTACTATATAAAAAAAATAAAATTGGTTTCTCTCTTCTCTACCTCAATTATCTTTGAGACAATTGAAAAATACAGTTGGTTTCTCTAATTCTTTTATCCAAAAAGACGATTGGAAAATGTGGTTGCTCAATTTTTCTTTCTTCTCTTAACTCTCTAGCAGGCCTGATTCTTTTTGACTTTACCTCTTTCACTCACATTATTTAAGGTAGAAATACTATTTTAAGAATATTATATTTAAGGAAATTATAATTACTTAGTTACATTATTCTTAATTTTAATATATTATGCATAATAATAAAAAATTTTTAAATTTTAAAATTAATATATATTTTAAATATTTAATTATAAATAAATATACAGCTATAACAAAAAAAATTTTGGTGCCCCTACAATTTTGAAGCCCTGTGCATTCGCTTAACTTGCGCACCTTTAAGGCCGCCTTTGGACACAAGGATAAACTCACAGAATTTGTTAAATAGAGCATTAGTTGACAAAAAAAGCTTGACCTTTACCAAATTCTAACCAACTTTAGAAAGAGGGTAAAATAGTAAGTTTAGATTTTTTGTTAACAAAAAAATAAAAAAGAAACGAAAAAAAACACGGTTTATCTTCTTCCCAAATACCCACCCCTAGGGATGGCAATTGGAATCGTCGGCTCAGGCTACACGTGGTTCAGTCCAAAAAAAGCTCGAGCAGGCCTTCGAGCCTCGAGCCCCATTTCGGGGAGCTATAAGGGCTGGCTCGTTTAAGTATATAAAAAAAAAACTCAATCCGTTGCTTGTTTGGCAGCTAACCGGCAGCATTATTGGTAGCAGAAAATGCTGCCTTAATTGGCAGCTTTATAGGCTGCCTGTTTGGCAGCTAAGGGAAAAAAAGAAAAAAGAAAAAAAAAATCGAACCTACTTGGTTCAATAAGGTTTGAGTCGAAAGCTCGGGTTGAGCCTTACTTTTTTGGCTGAGCTCGAGCCAAAAAATTCCTCCTTAAAAAAGTTCAAGTGGGGAGTTTTGATTCGTGAACTGGTTCAGTTCGATTCGTTGACCCCTACTTACCCCTAACGTTCATCCCACCTCACCTAACCCCAACCAAATGAACCACAATATACCAACCTTCACTGTGTCCACGATAGCAATCACCCACATACTGGGGGATTTTGGGTGGAGAGGGCGGCTATGTTCTGCACCATGGCTCGGAAATGACCTAACGAGTTCATTAAACTTAACATTGAAATATTTTAAATAACTTTGAATGAATTAGTTTGTTTTAAGATTTTCATGCTTGTCCCCACGAAATGTTCTATATGGGTTGGACAATCTAAACTAGCTCACTAGTCGTTTATCTTTTGAAATTTGTAAATAATAAACTTGAAAAAATAGATTTTGTTTATGTATTTAATAAAAAACTTTAATATTATAAAAACCATCATTCTTTATCTTTTACGAACAATTATACACAAAATATTATTTTGTTTACACGTATATCATGTAGCCGGTCAGAAACTATAAAACTAAAGCGTACCACTTTAGCTATGCATGCGTATTATGTATGCCCCTTTTTTGTTTGTTGTCAAGATTACAACTTCGTCTCAAACGGGGTTTAATGGTGTATATAAAAGATAAAAAGTGAATGTTTATTGATAGGCTAAAACTTCTTTTTTACTCCAATTAGTGCTATTTCCGTAAAGTTTTCGATAATAATCCTCCACTACTTGGGCCTGGCTTTGGATCCAAAGACAAAGATGGCCCACTACTTTGTAGCCCACTTAGCCCAATTGTATCCATAAAACGCATTCTACATTTTAATGGGTTAGGGTTTCGCATTTCACACAGAGACTAAGAGGAGCAGCTCGCCATGGGGAGAAGTAAGCTCTCCTTATTCTCTTATGCTATATGCGCGTCTGATTCAGTCATAATATGCGTTTATAGATATGTAGAAGTTCGAATCTTCAAAAAAAAAAAAAAAAAAAAAAAAAATCGCTAC